TACTTTGCCTTCGACCACCGTGGTGTACAAGACATGGCTGTGTCCACTGGTACAAGTAGTAGCATGCCTCAGGGCATTAGCACCAAGACAGGCGATGAGCAGTTCTGTGCAGCAAATGAATAAGAGCGTGAGGTCCCAGGCCAATGTGTCTATGCTCGAATAATACACCTTCTCAAAAGTCAAAGATATCTTTGAGAAAGAAAAGAACTTGATTCTTAAAGATGCAACATAGGTTATATAGAGAATTTCTAGGGTTCAAGAAGCCCCAGGCTAAGACAGGGCATATATGCTCACAAATGGCATAAAAATGAGCAAAAAAAAAAAATCTATCTGAGATCTTCAACTACTGCCCTTTCTTTTTCAGCTCTGACCAGCAACTTGAAGCCACTGCTGTTTCCTTGAAGGAAGTGTTGAGCCAGCGGTTTTTCACCATATTCTGTATGGATGTTGGTGGGTTTGCAGAATGCTCAAAGGAATCCATTAAGGTAAAATCCAGAACCACATCAAAATATTTAAGAATTTCGCCCCTCTGGCAGCAAGTTCAATCTCAGTACTATCCCAGTGATCAATCTGCTCTTAAAAAAAATAGATCATTTCATCAAAAGCATCTTCAAATTTCTTTGGATTCTTCCATGCTTTCACAGTTAAAGCTGGTAAAAATCTTCCTTCCACTTTGAGCAAGGAATATCCTGTTGGCTGCTTCTAAAAGAATCACCTGGAAAGCCTGCCTTATACAGTGGAGTTTGGTGAGAGTCGCTGTCTCCTAGACAACCAGCATTTCAGTCCTCAGGACTCAGGAGTAAAGTTTCCCTTCTTCAACCAAATGTATAGCTTCTTATAAAAAGGGCAGAGACAAAACGACGCCGGGCTGTAGGTGTGCTGTGCTTTGCTGTGTTCTCTGTGTTCTCTACGCTGTATCATTTTGCAAGGTAGTTAGGGTCAGATCCCCCAAGGGTAGCTTCAGACTCCTGGAGACGATGTTGCCTTTGCAGCAGAGCCTCTACTTTGTGGGTGAATTCTGTACTAATTATGATGTGCACGCGTTCTTCAGCAATGGCATCTCCGGCTCCCAGCTTAACAGAGCTGCAGGCTCTGTTTAATATCTTGTCCCTAAACACCTTTTTCTGAACATTCCCACAACTCTAGGAAAGCCAAGGAGTGAGGTGAGGGAGCAGGGCCTGGAATGTCCATGTGACTGTTATCTGAAAGAACAGCAGATCTCACTTGGATACATTTCTGTGTGAGCCAAGTCTTATGTATAAGAAGGGACAAAAACCCTGCATTCCTGTGCACACACAGCAAAGCTAGCTGATCCTCAGGATGCTGGTCACCCAAGGACAAACACAAACCAATGTCAGTGCTTACAGAGTTTAATCTTTAACATTCTTCTCTCTTAGTGTGGGGAACAGAGGGAGGCAGACAAGATAGAAACATAGTGTCCAACTGGTTGTCCCAGGACTCTCCCTGTACCAAGCTTTGATAAGGCTGGTCCCACCACCTTCAAGTATTTTTGTAGTTGTAGCATCTATGATTTCTCTTTATTGATTTTTAGTTTTACTAAAATAGGCCTGAAAAATTACAAGGTATTATCTTGACTTTGGTACTTCTTAAACCTCATTTTGTTGCTTATAGTTACATTTCATTTGGAGAAGTTTTTATAGGTGTGGAGAAGAATGTGAACTTTTTTTGTTAAATGAAATATTCTGTAGCTAGGTTTAGGTACACTGTGGTGTAGTTGTAGTCTTAAAATTCTTGATTTAAACTTTTAAAATTATATTTAGTTTTTTCCCCATTTGTATGTGCATGTATGAAATATAGGTCAGGGTGGGGACTCCATTCTGCTCTTATATCATGTGAGTTCCTAGGATTGAGTTTGGATAACCAGACTTGGAAGCCGGTTTCTGTACCTGCTGAGCCATCTCACTGGCCTTACTTAGCTGAAGTTGAGATTGATATATCTGAAGATGGGAACGAGGTATTGAAGGACCTGCTACTCTTGGGTCTGTAAGACTTTTATGACCATTTGTGATTATTTCATGAAAATGGGAGACCAAACTCTTGGTTCACATAGATTTACAACTATTGTAGCTTCTTTAAAGGCTATTCCCTTTATATTGTACATTGGCTTTCTGTATCTCTTTTGACTAATTTTTGGTTGGATTCTACTGGATTTCAGAATAGCCCCCTACCCCAACTTGTGTTTAGCTTTAACTCACTTAATAGACTAACTTTGATTCACCCTTTGGTACAAAATCTGATTTTAGGATAGGGAAAAGAAGTACCAAAAAGAGTGTCTGAGTTAATAAAAGAACAATAAAAATAATCCCATGGTTATATACTTGAGTGTAAAACTACTAATATGTGTACCCTTTAAGTGTTTGAACATACATGTAATGAGTTACATAAGGACACTTTTATTTTTTTTTAGAGTATTTTTAATTTAATTTTATATAACAAAGTCCAATTAAATGAAAACAAACATTTATACACAATATTTGGGAATTTGGGCGTCGTTCTTTCCAAACTACTTCCTGCTGGTAAGGGGCGCTGTCTTGGGGGATTCGAAGAAGATTCAGATATCCTAGCTGTAGTCTGTAGGGCTGTTTTGTCCAGCTATTTGGAATGTAGGATCAGCTTGTACTCTGTTTCAGGCGGTCTGGTGTGATCAAACCACATTAGTCTGGAAGGAATCCACATCTTTTCATTTTCTGTGGAAACAAAAATAGAAATACTTTTCCCCAGTAACTTGTTCTTCAACTTAAATTTTGGAGTCAAAGCGTTTTTTTTTTTTTTTTATTATTATTATTTTACATGTCGATCCCAGTTCCCTCTCCCTCCCTCCCTCCCTCCCCCCAAGCCCTCCCTCCCTCCTTCCCTCCCCTTTTGCCCTCTCTACCCTCTCCCATGCACTCTAAACACCCTCCCCTCCCAACCCCCCACCACAATACAATATGTAGGGGAATGCCATCCAGTTGGGGTCATGTAGATCTGACAGGTCCTGTGAAGTAGGGACTAGGGCTTCTCTCCTATCTCTAGAATAAGGCAGTTATCCCTCCATGGGGGATATGTTTGCAAAGATAAGGACACTTTTATACAATTAAAAATAGAGTATGGCACTATCCTTAATAACAAAATTCAAACACTATGCAGACTTATGCAGCAGATTATGTTTGAATAGAGCAAAATAGGAAAATAAAAAATAACTGTTTAACTATAGAAATAATAGCCAACTTAGTATCAATGAATGCCTATCGTACCCCAATTGTGAACTCTAGTTTCCCACTAACATTAATTTATTCCTCAGATAAATACATGATACCAGTTCTAGAGAAGAAAATATACAATATAGCCTAGAACACACTTGCATATGATAACAAAGTATTGATTCCTTCTGAGGGTATTTAACCAATTTGGGATTGCATAGGAAATTGAAACTGATGTTTTTGAACACTTGGAGTATGGTTTTATGGAAGGCATATCTGTGAGAGTTCAAGGCCATTCTGGTCTACTAAGTGAGTTCCAGGATGGCCAGGGTTTTATAGTAAGACCTTGGCTCAAATAGGTAGATAGATAGATAGATAGATAGATAGATAGATAGATAGATGATATATATATGTAATATATCAATATATAATATAATAAAATATTATAAAGTACATTTAATGTTATTATAAGTGCACATTCTATGTTGAGCTTCTTGTCGGGCATGGTCTTTGTGGGGCTGCAATCAGAGCCAGCTGAATGGCCCCAAGTCCATACCTGAGTGGGGGAATGTGGATGAGGGAAAGGCTAGCTATAGATGATGAAGAAAAGACAGAGAGACAGAATAAAGGTTAGGAGGGAAGATCAGTCAATACTGAGATGCCACGAGTTTATTTCTCACCACTCTTATATACCTTATCCAAAAAGGGGAACACAGTATCATGTATACGGAACAAACAGACTTTTTTCCCTCACCTATTCTAAGGGTTCAGTAATCACACCTTAACTCCAACTTCTTGTTCCCTAGCCTTGAGGTCAGGAGTAGTCACACCTCAGATTAAACTTCTCCTTCCCTAGCCTTGAGAATCAGGAATAGCCACACCTCAGATTCAGGTCTGTTGTTACTGAGACTAAGACAGGCAAACATCCTACTGTAGCCACACCTTTGACGTTTAGGTCTTATGACTTGCTGAGGATAGTTTTGAACTCTCTGTCCTTGTGCCAAGATAGGATGCAGCCATCTTTATGGGCACCCACAGCTTCTGATAACTGCTTATTATTATGAACATCTAATGCTTTCTGTGCATGACCACAATATTCAGCAGTAGGCAATTAAACAGACCATTCACTGAAAACTGAGGATATGCTCTGGCAGCCTGCAGACCTTACAAAGCACAGTGGACTTCAGAAAACACTTCCCACCCTAGCCAGACAAGGAGCACCTCCAGAGGTGCTCCAACAGAAGCCCTCTGTTTGGTATTAAGGACTAGGTGCTAACATGGCCCTTCCATTAGATGAGGGATGTGCACACAACCTTTCCACACTAGCTTCTGTCTAGACAAGCAGGCTGCTGTGTTCACCTTCCCAGCATCCAGGAGACACACTCCTGTGCTGCCCTCCCATGCTGCAACTCAGGCTCAACAACAGCCCTCTTCCAGTTGTTTTTCCTTGCCTAGTTTTGATCTCTAGCAGTTTGAGCTGGAGTTTAGCAGAACAGTTTGAGCTCATAGCATGGAAAGAGGAAGAAAATCAGGGGTCACCGTGTGCTGCTGCTGCTAAGACTGCCTTACAGGTCATGTGTATCTTTAGTGCCCCCTGAAGCAAGGAAATGTGAGAGGAATGAGGAAATGAGTAAGTCACAGAAGAGGAGTTTGGTGTATTGCCAATGTGGGAGTGACTTGCTTTGAGATCTGCTTCTGGGAACCCACTGGCCATTGTCACTGCCTGAGTGGACTATAAATTCCTTAGAGGCTGTCTAGTCTTTTCTAGTCTTTTCTGCAAGAGTCTGCTCAGGAGAAATGGAAAACCTCCTGAAGCTGTGTCTTTTTCTTCTCTGCTTTGAAACCGGTAAGTATTGCTTGCAACCTGTTCCCTTATCTGTTAAAGGAAGAAAATTAATCGCCTTTTATTTCACCCTGCCTTGTCTATGTTGTTAAGACATGTTGTTGACTGGAGCACACCTATTAGGCAAAACATGGGTTCAGCCAAGTGTTCCAGAAGCAGGGTTTTCCATGGGAAGTGACAGCATGGCACCTGGTTCCTCTAAGCAGTCTTTATCTTTGCAGCTCTCACTGTACAGTGTGTATTATGTCCATCTTACAAAGATGGGGAGTGTGTTGATGGGAATCGGACATGCACTACAAAACCTGGTGAAACTTGTATGATCCGCAGAACCTGGTATACATATGAAAGTAAGTATGTACTCTATGCCCTGGAGAATTTCTGCCTATCCTTTGTGATTCCAAACATCATCTCTAAGACATTGAACATAAAGAAAATGAGTTCACTGATATCCAGTTATGATATCCCAAACCCTGTTCTGGGGTCAACTTTTGAAGAATAATAAAGCTAAGTTTATCTTGACTGAATGGGATTTCCCTCCATCATTATATTGTTACATTCATCAGTCCTTGATCTGCAACATCTCTGCTGTTTAGGGTCTGTCTTGTTTAATTTTCCATTCCCATGACAAAAGAGCACAGCCAAAACAATTATAAAAGAAAACACTTAATTTAAGACTGGCTCAAAGTCCCAGAGTTAAAGTCCATGATGATCATGGTGAATAGCATGGCAACAAGCATGAATGCAAGATACTGGTGCAGGAGCTTACATGCTGAGTCACAACCATGAGGCAGAGAGAGAGAGAGAGAGAGAGAGAGGGAGGGAGAGAGAGAGAGAGAGAGAGAGAGAGAGAGAGAGAGAGAGAGAGAGAGAGAGGATGGCATTGATTTTTGAAACCCCTAGTGACACACCTCCTCCAACAAGGCTACACCACTTCTTAATTCTTCCAAAAAAATCTTTGGCCAAGGGAGGACCTAGCATTGAAATATTCAAACCTATGGGGGCTGTTCTAATTCAAACTACTACAAGGTCCAAAGGCTACAAAACATCAGTCCTTAAATGTGCCATTTCTCACACTTTGTCCTGGTGGCTTTAGCTTTTCTAATGTTCTATTATAGCCTGGAATCACCTTCTCTGGAAAACTGTTTGTCATCCTCAGGACACCTTGGTGCTTCTCAAGTCTTCATGCTTCATCTATCTCCTGACACCTTTCATGGTGTGTCCTTCCTGTCATTCCATAGATTCTGGTTCTTGTGGGATAATATTATCTTGATCTTTACATGCCTGATTGCTCACCTCTGAGCATGCATATCTGCTTGAGGGTCAATGATGCTGTGTGTCTCTAAGCTCACCACTAAGCAAATGGTTCTCCCATAGTAAAGGCTCTTGGGTAAAGGGACTTTTTCCACCTGTAACTTAAAACATGTGGCAAGAAGTCTTAAAAGCATGGAACACTAACTGCCATTCAAGAAAATTCTTTTATTGAAAGTGTCCTCAATCCAAAAGTACTTGGATATGAGGTCATATCCTCGCTCTCAAAATTCTCTTTGCTATCTTCTTCCACAGGCTATGAACTGAAAAGTGCGGAGTTGAGGTGCACGGATGTCTGTAAATTTGATGAGAAATTTTCTGAAGGTCTAACAATACATACATACTGCTGCAATTTTGAAGATTTCTGCAATGCCATTGACTTACCAATCGTGATGACCTAGTGTCAGCTAGTTTCAGTTGACCTCATCACTCATTTCCTTTCCTTCCTGTCTTTTTTTTCTTCCCTTTGTTTCATATTTTCTGAGCTAGAGATTTTTCTCAGCCTCGCATTTGTGCAAGTCACAGAACCTGGGGACAGACAGAAATTCCTTGGTATTATGAAAGTATATCTGATTATATCAGCTAATTCTTATTCCTGGTATTCCATAGACCTCATCACCATGAATGTAGCTTGCATGTGGTCATCAATGCATTTGTCACATCAGTGGGGCTTGGCAAAATAGATGAGTAGATATAAGGGTGGTAAAGTGTCAAAAGGAGGGTGAATAGTCTGAGTACCCTAAAACATGAGTTTTAGGAACTTGGTTGCAATTTTTAATAATGTACCTTACACTTCCAGGCAACAATTGTTTTTTTACATTTTTTATTATTGCTTTATTTTACATATTCATCCAAGTTCCTTCTCCCTCCCTCCCATGCCCCCTGACCACCCTCCCATCCCACTCACCCCCTACTCCACAGGGAGAGTGATGCCTTCCAGAAGGGATCATCAAAATCTGTCAACTCATTTGGAGTAGGGACTCCTCCTGCCTCTAGGTTAAGGGAGTATCCCTCCATGGGGAATGTGCTCCCAAAGTCCTTTTGTACACCAGGGATGAATCCTGGTTCCACTGTCAGAGGTTCCTTAGACTACCCAGGCCTTCTAACTGAGACCTATGTTCAGGGGGTCTGAGTCAGTCCGATGCTGGTTTCCAAGCTATCAATTTGGGGGTTCATGGGCTCCCCCTTGTTCAGGTCATCTATTTCTGTGGATTTCTGTAGCTTGACCTTGACCCCATTTTCTTACCACTCCTCCCTCTCTGCAAATGGGTTCTAGGAGTTTGGCTCAGTGTTTAGCTGTGGGTGTCTGCTTCTGTTTCCATCAGCTACTAGATGAGGGTTCTATGGTAGCATATAAGGAAGTCATCAACCTCATTATCAGAGAAGGGCATTTAAGGTAGTCTTTCCATTGTTGCTACGGGCAACAATTTAAAGCAGGAAAGGTAGTTTCAGATCCTGGTTTTAGTCCTTCATTGTTTTGTTCCATTGCCATGGACCTATAGTAAAGCTAAACATAAAAGACCATGACACACCAAAACTGCTCACCTATTGGTGTTCAGGAAGTATCGAGACAGAGGTTTGGAGTAAGATAAGGATGCTAACAAAATGCCCTCGGTGGTCTACTATAACAAAATAAGCCTGGCAGCTGAAAAGAAAGACATCTAGATGGTCTTGTTCCCATGAATCACAAAATTCACTGCTACCAAGTTTCACCCAGCGAAGAAAATCTTGTTTCTGTTATATTGCTGCCAGAAAATAAATCTGCTAAATGCTTACTACTCTTTGAAAGATTTTTTTCTGAGCATGTAGAACCAGGAGTGAAAATGGTGTTGACCCAGTATGAAGGAATTGAGTTTGCAAGCCCTCATTTTCTTCCCCCATCAAAGTTCAGGCTCCTTAGGATTAAACTTTCATTTCATTGATTTCATGCATATGTAATGCTCAACACTGAATGGAATCAGATTTCTTCTCTATATGTATGATATACACATAAATCAGTAAGTCATCAATCTTTTAGTTAACAAACACAGGATTTATTAAACAGTTATTAGTTACAGACCATGGAAAAGGACAAATGTGTCCGTGGAGTGCTTAGTCATAAATGGAATATGTAGTCCACATGCCCTCCTTACAAGGCTCAGTGACCACAACAGAAAAGAGATTGGAAATACTGAATGATTCAGAAATGGTTTAGTCCTGGGGAAAACCTGTTTCCTGGACACAACAATGTTGTTGCACTCCTGGATTCATGGAAGCTGTGGTTCTCTACACAAGATCTGCACAAGATCAAGCCAGTCAGCAATTCCAACAAGGATGGAGGAGGAGAACATCATCTCCTGCTCCTATCTAGGAGCAATTGAAAGTTAATGGCTACCTCTGGCAGTGAAATCAGGATGCATGAATGGACTTTGGGAGCTCATTCCCCATGGAGGGATATTCCCTTAGCCTAGGTACATGGGGAAAGGCCCAGGTCCTATCCCAAATGACTTAACAGATTTTGATGATCCCTCATGGAAGGCTTCACCCTTCCTGGAGAGTGGGTGGGGGATGGGATGAGGGGATTAGAGGGGAACATGGGAGGATGGGAGGGAGAGGAACTGGGATAGATATGTAAAATAAGATTGTTTCTAATTTAAGCAAAATTTATAAAATAAAAAAGAAAGAAAGTTAATGGCTAGAAGAGAAAAGAGAATCAGTTTTCTTCAGAGGTTTGGTCCTTGGTAAGTTGCCCATGCTCTGATAGATGTCCCCATGACCATGTTTGTTTGAACAATATTAATTTGACTCAGTGGTTTGGTCTTTTTTTAATGTCATGAAGTGGGAGGCATGGAGAGGATCTAGAAAGAATTGGAGAGAAGAATGGATGATGTAGCTATGATCCAAATAATTTGTATGCATGTATGAAATTCTCAAAGAATGAATAAAATTTATTTATCACATTTGTCTTAAAAAATGACCAGTACATCATTTCCTATTTAAAATTTTATCTTTCCTTCATGAGAACAGGGAACAGGATGGTCAAGTGGGGGGTGGATGGAGAAGGAGAGCAAGGAAAGAAACACCTTGCTATACAGAACAATAATGGGGTTAGGGAGAAACCTGGTGCTAGGGAAATTCAAAAGAATCCACAAGGATGACCCTGGCTAAGACTCCTGACAATAGTGGAATGGATGCCTGTACTGGCTGTCCCATGTAATCAGATTGGTGAATACCTCAACTATCATCATAGAGCTGTCATCCAGTAATTGATGGAAGCAAATGCAGAGATTCACAACCAAGCACTAGGCCAAACTTTAGGAATCCAGGCAAAGAGAGAGAGAGGGGAGGGAGTATATGAGTAAGGGAGGTCAAGATCAGGGACACGTGAACCATGCTCATGGAAACTCATGAACTCTGGGCCAACAGCTATGGAGCTTCTATGAGACTGAACTAGGCCTTCCATATGTGAGAGACAGTTGTAAAGCTTGGGCTATCTGAGGGGCCCTATCAGTAAGACCAGGATCTATCCCTGGTGCATGAGCTAGTTTGCTGAAGCCCATTTCCTATGAAGGGCTGCCTTAGCAAAAGTGGAAGGGGCTTGGTCCTTTCCCAGACTTTGTTGACTTTCCATAGGAGGCTTGCCTGTTGGGAAAAGTGGGTGGGGGTGGGCTGGTAGGAAAGCAGTGAGGAGGGAGGCAGAAGGAGGGATGGAAGGGAGAACTTTGGTTGGAGTGTAAATTAAATAAAAAAAAAAAACTCTATCTTTGAGGTGGGTGCAGTGGCATACACCTAGAATCTCAGCATTCATGAGACTGAGGCATGATGTTGGGATCATGTGACCATGCCATATGATTTGTTGGTGTATTTCTGCCCATAATCTCTCCTACCAAGGACAGATACATGGGGACACTGCATCTCAAAGAGAAAGCACATTGTGTTAATGTGCATTTCTTTCTTGGGTTTGAAGATGAATTTCAATTTCTCAAAATTCCTCATATCAAAAAATATATATGCCATAAGCTCATTTCTTTAAAACTCTTTTAATAAATAAAAGTTTAAAAAAAATAAAAACCAAGTGAAATATGCAATGCAATTGATGATATGGATTATTTAAACATCCTATGCCAATAATTCTTGCTCCCTGACATCTAATAGAAATGTGGTGACACATACCTTTAATCCCAGAACTCGGGAGGCAGAGGCTGGTGGATCTTTGCAAATTCAAGGCCAGCCTGGTCTACAGAGCTAGTTCCAGGACAGCCTCCAAAGCAATACAGAGAAACACTGTCTCGAAAAACCAAAGAAAAAAAGAAAAGAAATGTCACATATATCCTTTCAATGTGTTATGTATCTCTCTTTTATGACTAACTCTCTAAAAGTCAGCCTAACTAGAACAGATAATTACACAGACTCTCATTTATATTTCTTATAGACTCTTGAGATGTGTTTTATGTAAGTTTTATACTACCTGCAATTATATGTACAAAAATTATTTGCAAATTTTTGTGATAAAGGAAAAATCTGAGCAGACAAGACCAGCATTGACCAACATAAGACCACTACCCAACAGGGAAAACACCAAATCCTGCAGGTCCGCTATTACTACCTAGAGCTTCAGTTTCAAAGTTACATGCTGCTGTCCTTCCAGCTTTGCTGACTGCAACATACAGCCATCTTTAACTAGTTACACTCCAGCTATGCAGCTTCCTTTGGCAGAGGTCTCTCTCATGTCTCTAGCATCATCAGTATCTTGGGGATTCTGTCAAAACTCCACTTTTATATTCATAGTTCCACAGACTATTTTCCAGGGGCCAAGGTATATGAACCTCTGCACTGCCACTAATCTCTGCTTTTGCCACATAAAGAACAGTGAATGTAAAAGAAGGGCAGAAAATGTAAGAAGAGAGAATTGATTCATGAAGGCGATTTCTCATTATCTCATGGAAAGTTGTTTAGTGAAAATTATAATTGCACTCTGCTTTAATCTATCGGCCAATACCATCTGAGGAGAGTTTTCACTTGAATTAAGTTGGAGAGACTAGAGTGGGCTTAGCAAACTAGAACATTTAGGATGGTTAACGAAATACCCTACCCTGATGTGGGATGGAGTACAGTGGACAATGAAAAGGCAACTAGAGTAACAGGGAAGAAACAGTGCATACAGGTCTGGAGAAGAATCTGATGGATTTCTTCAGAGTGCACAAAGTACAAACTGTCTTTAAAGCTGTAAATGCAGAGCAAACCCAACCAAATTATGAGAATTATAAGAAAAGTGGGGTATAACGATATATACCAAGGAAATCCAGATAAGCATTAGGACATACTTTAAAATTCTACATTTCACCAAATTGGAAAATCTAAAAGAATTGGATATTTTTTAAATGCATACCAGTTATCAAAGTTAAATAAAGATCAGATAAGCAATGTGAAGAGACCTATAACATTTAGTTGAACAGACAAAGACACTAAAAATCTGACTGCCTCTCAAAAAGAAAGGAAGGAAAGAAGGAAGGACAAAAGAAAGAAAGAAAGAAAGAAAGAAAGAAAGAAAGAAAGAAAGAAAGAGGGAGGGAGGGAGGGAGGGAGGGAGGGAGGGAGGAAAGGAGGGAGGGAGGGAGAAAACCACCCCAGGGTCAGATAGTTTTTAGCACAGAATTCCACTAGGCTTTCATTGAAGAATTAATAGAAATGCTCCTCAAAATATTCCAT